CGCGGCACCTAGCCACCCTCCAATGGCTGGACCAAGAGCCGCCACGCTACAAAACATGGCCATGGCGGATGGATGCCCCTGCAATGCAAGGCCCCCCAGTTTTCTGAGGGGGGTAGAAACCCAACCCGGCACTCTGAGCAGAGAGCCACTATCAAATCCAGTCAACTGGCATCAGCTGGGCTTCTCCTCCCAGAATCAAGGCCCATCTCAAAGCCATAACCCATTGGCGACGTCAAAATTGCCACGCTACAAAACATGGCCATGGCGGATGGATGCCCCTGCAATGCAAGGCCCCCCAGTTTTCTGAGGGGGGTAGAAACCCAACCCGGCACTCTGAGCAGAGAGCCACTATCAAATCCAGTCAACTGGCATCAGCTGGGCTTCTCCTCCCAGAATCAAGGCCCATCTCAAAGCCATAACCCATTGGCGACGTCAAAATTTAGGGGACGGTCTCTTGGTTGCTACTAGGCCCAATCTGGAGTCAACCAAGTAGACGAAGCCTAGAAACGCCGGTTGAACTCGAGAAGCGACCCCACCCTTCTGGCTAAAGACGGGACAAGGTTGGAGGGGAGGGTCAGCCACTCATACCATGACCAACCCAGTGGTGGTTGAGTAATCACCAGCCCCACACAGACACCCCCGGAGACTGCACCGAGAATCTTACCGAAGACGAAGTTGTCTGGCCGGAAGATCTGGCCAAAGGGGCCGGACCGGACCGAGTCCATGGTGCCTGGCTCCAAGTCAACCAAGATGGCGCGTGGGACATATTTACCACCTGGAGGGGCAAGCGAGAAATGTCTCAGCCCCCATCAATCAAAGCAAGAGGTACCCTGATGAACTTAAGGGGCGTGGCTTGTCCCGGAAGACGGATGGAGGCAAAGGGACCTCCAGAGCCACAAGGCACAGGTGAGCTGAGTGTGTCTGGTCTCAGCCACATGGGGAGAAAGGGGCAGGGAGTGGGGGTGCTTAGCCCATGAGGCAACTAGGAGTGGGGTGCCCAGGATCAGACCAACCCACACGTGGTATGGGGTGGTACAGGGACAGGAACAGACCAGTCCATGGACAGGTAAGAGAAGGGACATGGGCCAGCCAGCCAGAGGGACAGGACCCCACCGAATATTTATGAAAAACCATCCCTGGATCATCCTATTCCCTGCACATAGCGGGGGGGGATAAGACCAAACCATGGCAACATGTACGGGGGGGCTGACTGGACCAAACCACGCATATGTGGGGGGAGGGGGACCGAACCATGGTTGTGTGGAGGGGGGACCCCGGAACAGCCCACGCTTGCTAGGCCGAGGGGTGCTGCCGGCCATACCTGTAGCCTCATTGTAGTAGACGCTGCTGCGGTCCAGCTGCAGG